CGTTCTGGGCCCGACAACCACCCGCAACTGGTTGTCGTCTCGGTCTATAGACCGCGAAGGGTGCCATATCCTGATTTGGACCAACTTAGGAACCCCTCATATGACGCACTGATTACATTCGGGGTTGCAGATACACACGTGTCAGCGCCATTGGATCTTGGACACGGTCGGTCCAGGCTATTGAGGCCTTGGGGGAGGGGTGGCTAGACTGCAAACTGGTCCGTGTTCAGTCAGGTTGCATTGTATCTGATCGGCTCGGAGAAAGGGTGCCATGTGACGCAAGCGTTCCCGGTTGTTACTGGGATCGGAAATTGAAGTACCCAAGTACCACTGGTATGGAAGCGAGAGTCCCCTAATTAGCCTGTCGAGTTGGAGTCAATGATGTGGCTGGTTGAAGAGCCTCCGAAGTATTGGTACACAGCTATGAGACTGAAATGTGCCTTGAGTGGGGTTCGCGATGCGATCTTATCTTGACTGACGCCATAGATAACAGTAATGGAGGGACCCTGGCGTCATCGGCAGTGAGATGGGTTTAGCTGTGAGAACCAGACCGTCAGCATAGGGATTTCTTCGGCAAAACCACCCTCAAGTCGATGATCAGGAAACGGGCATCGTGTTAGCCTGTATTGTTGGTAAAGACTTTCTTACCCCCTCATCCCGACAACGCAGAGACGGTCGATGTACATACAGTACAGTAGTACTCGCAAGCCGCGCCCTCTACCCCGCCTGCATTCCGTGCGCTGCAGATCGACCCCTCAAACAAACCCGAGACCGCTCATCCTTTCAAACTGATTCTTGATACATGCCAACTGGGGTGATCATGGAAGGGGGGAGCTGACATTGCACCCCAAGTCCCCAGACGGGTCGGTGACCTGAAGGGGGAATGGATGAACTTCCCCAATCAATCCCATTCTCATCGTATGAGCATATGCTGCGTAAAGGTGGCAAGGACTGTTCTTGGAATGATTTCGGTGAGAGCTGAGGTTTAGCTAACAACAATCTGATTGAATGATAACAGTCCACTTGGTTCGGGACAGGCAATGTTGGAGAACATGGAATCGAACCCCGCCGCCACTGAGCCGCCCGGTGATTGCGATTAGGGAGAGTCTCCTCCCCGCTACCGTGGCGGCGGGGAGGTCAGTCAGGTGACCGATGAGCACCCGGTGAAGACACAGCCATGAGGGCGGGCGGGTGGATGCCTTTGCCACATTTCCATCACGGGTGGCGGTGTCAGGCCAACACCGCAAGTGCCGAGAGGTACCTAAGGTCCTGCCCGGAGTACTCCGTAGAATAGAAGGTAGCCACCAGCTGATCGAGATCCAAACATATCCAGGAGAAACCGAATCGACTCATCTCCCTGCTTGCCACTGAAATAGGATAGATGCATACTGTGAACTGCACATTCCATACGATCTCTGGCTCCTGCTGCTGAAAGGGCGCTGCCTGTGGATTCTGGGAGATGTTGATATATCGAATCTGATCCATGTACGGGTACACGGACCCAAACTATGTATATCATGCGCATTGAGTTATGTGCATCACTGCAAGTAAGGGCTCAGGCATCAAGCTCGGGTTAGAAAGTACGAAGTACGAGCACTGTACTCTCGTAGACTTAAGCTTTGCATGTGAAAATCCATGGAGCACTGCTGGCTGAACGATCGCCGAGAATCTGAAGCATCTCATCCATTACTGAAACCGCAACGGAAAAGGAATGTTTGTTTGTGCTCCGTACTGTACGGAGTACCACGGGGAAGATCTCCCGGCTCTGGCAATATCAATTCCCGGCGACGATGAGAGTGCGGCAGACACTGCGGATAGCACTTCCCCTTTCCTCTGTCTAAGGAAGTCTGAGACGAGACCGTCCCAGACAAACATTGAAGGCACAATAATGTACGGTAACTTACTGTAGTATGCAACTGCAGTGCGCGCAGTGCACACCCCTCTGTCCTGGGCTCTCACCCCGCCCAACCAACCCCCGATTCCCCAAATTCTCTCTCTCGACCCGTCTTGACTTCTTGAAAGTTGACACCCCTCCATCTGATTAAACTATGCCCCCCCCCCCTCCCCTCCCTTTCCCAACACAACACCCGAAACAGACCACGTACACATCTACGATTACTCCGTATTTGAAGTGGTATGTGTTTATAAAAAATTGAGCTGGTAGACGCACACAGCCCACCCATCCCGAGTTACCCTTCAACACCCTCCAACAGCCAGCCGGAGCCAGAAAAAAAAAACAAATCCAACCACCAAAAACAAACACACTTACATAGTCCGTAGCATACATACTATGCGGGCAAAAAAAACACAAACAAACACAACCACACCCAGAAAAGAAACCCATTCTCCCCCCTCCCGACTTCAATCCTTAGAACTGCACCATCTGGCAAAAGCGCAGGTTAATCCCAAACCAACCTAGCGGGCATCATCGCGCGCCAAACCAAATCGAGAATCTCATGCATTTGAGATCTCTCTCTCTGTTTCTCTCGACCGAGATTCGAATTCTGAACCGGTCCGGTCGAGGGGGGAGGGGGATGATTGACAGGGCTGCGACTGCACTGCACACTGCACTGCACCAACTAGACTTAGGTAGGCTTAGACCCGTCCATTGAATTTGTGTTTTGCGCTGTATAGATTTTTCTTGGTGCAGAGTATAAACTCGGCCTTACTGCTCTTGTCACTTTGGACGGAGTTTATTCGAGTGTCTAGACTACGTAGTCGATGATGTTTTGAAGAAGTATATTTGGCAATGCACCGCGATGATGGGCACATGTACGGAGAAAGAGTGCACGAAGAGCTCAGCCACGATGTGGCGAAGCTTCTTGAGCAGCAAGACATCTCCGTAATTGCTTGTGAAGAGTGAAGCATTCATTACCACACGTAGACGGAAGTGGGAGCCGAGGTATACGGGAGTATACGTACACCGTTACTATTCGTAGCGGGATTCTTCTGCCCCAAAAAGGGCGAGGGGGGGGGGGCACTTTCTGATGAGGATGTCCGCGGGTTGCTAAAAAGATTAAGATGACAAGTGGATCAAATTGAAGAAAAGGTTCCGCGCACGAGCTAAGTTTCCTCTCTGAGCACTTGGCGTCTGGCTCACTGGGTCGCTAAATGTGCTCGGCTCGGCTGCTTGAGTGGTTGTTTTGGATGCTGATTGCTGCGTGGTCTTCGCGTCGACTCCGTAATGGATTGTTGTTTACTTTGCTCTACTACAGTATTCATACTAGCGCTGAGAGTAGTTAGTAGCTTGTTTAGTTGTTGGTGCCTGCGGCCGCCCTCTCTCCCCACCTCAGTCTGTCTCTTCATCGAAACAACAGTGCGGTGTAGGCAATTGTCTAGTTTCATTGTCGTTGCAAAAGCAAAGCGCTAGACTCGAATAATTTTCAGCGAAGAGAAACAAGCCAGGAGTAGAGAAAAACATGCTCCATCAACTCGAAACTACGGTACCCCAAGATCCAGCTCGGACCCCTTCGCCCCCTTTTGCCCACGTTGATCAACAACAACAACTCCATCCCCGTATTCACAGTTTGAAGAAACATGGATTCTCCCATCTCTCGAACGACAGCATCGTTTCTCGGACCACCGGACGGGCGAGGGGGCGGGCGGGCGGGCTTCGAGCCCTTCGAGCCCTTCGACGAGCGTTCGACGAGATTACTGATTTAGGATGGATCGACGGAGATCCTCCCCCCGAGTCTCTCCTTAGCATCAACCTTCGAACCATGGTTCCGGGCCCTGCTGGCAGTTGGTGTCGGGAGGCGAAGAACGGGTTGCTGGGGGAAGTCCAATTTGGAGAAGGCGAGACAGACAGAAAATGGCCCGGAGACTTTTCGGTCTGTTTTCGTCCCCTTTCACCCCTCACCGGGAGTTGTCGCTGTTCGAAGTCTCCAGCCATCTTCAGTCTCGGCAAGAGAATCTCGTCTCGCCGAGACTCAACCACAACCCGAGGGGTTTTCTGTGGTTGAGTGCCTTTTTTTAGGTTTCTACTTTAGCATTCCGGCCGGTTTGATACGATGCCGTACGCGTTTACTCCGTGATAGTATACTTCTGAGAAAGCGTCGTGGAGAACATTCTCCTTGGACCGGGAATTGATTCTCGTCCAATTCAAAATGAGTTAGGGCGATCATCGAAAATGCCTGTGCTTTCATAGGGGCAGACAGTTGATTGATAGATCAACTGCCAGAATGCTTGGCCTTGGCACTATTCCTTAGCGACTTGTGCTACGGAGTACTCAGCGACTAGCAACCTGGATGATGGATTGTTGGGCAGGGCGTCTGGTTGCCTCGTCACACGCGCTTTGTTTTTGATGCGCTCTAGCTGCTGATCTAGCTGCCGGTTGCTGTTACATCGTCCATGCCATGCCGACTTGCGTTCCAGGTTGGCCCCGATTCTAAGACCATCGGAAGAAACCCTTTCCAGCGCCTTCCATATAGTAGAACGAACTATAGTTCCTGTCGCATACATCCCTGCGATGTATAGACGCCATTGTCGTCATGATTCCTGGTCCCCTGCAAGTGAAGACAAGGCGATTGGCAGGGCAGGCTAGTTCGGATCCTGCAGTAGTGTACATGTTGAACATCCCAGGTTGCTTCCTTAGTAAGAGGAGTAGTCTAGACTGCCCTGACAGGGCAACTGAATAGTGATTGTACCTAGTAAGTGACTGTCGAAGCTACTCAATACGATGGCCGACAGTGCCGGGGCTTATTGCACCTGTACGGCGGCGGATGTCTTACAGCGATAGCTGCAGGTCGCACCAACCAGCGAGCCCGATGGGAGGTCTAGTGAAATCCTGACCAATTTAGACTCGCCTTAGCGGCTTCCCGAACGACTCTCAATCTCGGATGCTGTTTCAGACTGCAGGACGACTCGACGAGGGAGTCGCAGACGGGTCAATTATCTCTCCGGGAGCTGTCAGGTACGCCCAGCTGACCTATACTCTGTCTGTCGTAGGGTGTACGTTGACAGGGCTTGGATCCCGTGCAGAGGCGTCGAGGACTCCAATTTCAACGGTCGGTCAGCAGAAGATCCGCCTGCAGCGAGTCAGTGGCAGTGAGAGTGACTTGAGGTGAAGCTGGAGAGCACTCAAAGCAGACAAGTCAAACCCTCAACGGCCGAGGTACAACGGAAGAGCTAGCCGGAAAGGGAAATAAAGCCACCGCGACAGTCATAACCATTACATAATCGACTCCAGGCGGGTTCCAGTTTGCCCGAAGTTGCGGCGGCGGGAACATCGCCCTGGAGAGGCGGCGACCGTCCAGTCTGCGGGCCTGGAGACTGAGTGCCAGCGTCTTTCGGGGTCTGTCCGTGCTGGTCGGAGAGCACTGACCAATAACAACGTGGCAAAGGGATCAGGGCCAATGGTTGTGTAGCGATAAGCTGATGGTCCAAGTCGCCAATCCGCAGGCGAGCTCAGGAAGATCCGCTGCATTGGGAATGGCCGTCCGCAGCAGTCATTGGGTACCGGCTTCAATTTCACCGTGCAAGAGGTGGACCGTACCAGTCCGGCCCTCCGAACTACTACTAGTGTGATGTAGATTGAATTGGGACTTCCACGGCTTCCGAAGCTCTTCACTTACATTTCCATCTACCCTCTAATCCTTATCCGACCGGATTGATTGGCACGGGATAGGTAGTACGACTTAGTCGGTCTGTCACCGCCAGATTGCCCGTGTCCTTGCCGAGCAGGAAGAAGTAATAAAGTGAGCCACTTGCAAGGGGAGGGTGATAGATAGTGAGGTCGGCGCCAGAAAGGATGCAATTTCAAGCCCGTGCCATAGTACTAGGTAGCCATAATCACCCGAGGTTGAGTTGGTTGGTGTGTACGGAGTAGCTAGTAGGCTATACAGGAAGTACTCCGTACAGGGTGTACAGTACACGATGCCAGAGGGTGGTCTCGTGAACTCTTCCTAACAGAGTAACCCTCTGCGGTCACTGCTTTTCGCTAAGGCGGACGCTCGGTGGAGCCGAGGTTGCAGTGGGGCCACTTTCCGGCTTCTCTTCGTCCAACCAGCACCATCTCTATTCTGATTTCACCGGTAGCCGCCGAAATGTAGCGTTCCAGCTTGGTAGGAGCGCGGTAGAGAACCGCTCCACGGGGGGGGGGGTTGGTGGGTGACTGAGGGTGGGTTTGAACTTTGGAGATGGAAAAAAGATGGAACCCCTTCACTTCCATCCATGATCCATCTGAGGACGAGTGGGGAAATAGACAGGAGCAGAGCATGGAGATCGCCTGAAGGGGAAAGTTATCATGCTTGTCGGTTCAGGGTTGATTAACTGGTTGCCACAAGACCGGGATGCATACTTGATTCTCATACCACCGGGCTTGATCGATGATTCATCGTGAGAATGTGAGTAACTAATTAGAGGGAGGGATGGGATGGGATGATTGTAAGAGGCGGTCAAGAAAGAAGACTGGGGGGACACACGGGGAAAGAAAGGAGGGGGAAGGAGGAATTAGATTCGGTTGTCATGATGACTTGACTGCTTTGCTTCGGAAAAAGAGGACTGGTTGGCAATGGATGCATCCATCCCTGATTGAGCCCTTCCAGTTCCTCAGATCCGACGGATGGCAGAGGAATGAGAAGACTACTTGCTGGTTATCTGGACCAGTCGTCGTCGTACTTTGTCACATTTGGTTGTGAGTCTTCTACTACTCCTGCCTTGCTTGGGACTTCTATACATGTGCAAGACTACTCCGTACAACCAGTTGTCAGCCAGTGATGTTATTATAGTCAAGGACGGATGGATATACTCATGCTGATAGAACAAGTAACAGTTGCATCCGATCAGTTCCAGGTTGACTATCCATCCGTCCCTTCATCTCAGGGCCATCCTCGGTAAAAAGCCGTGCTGGTTTAGGAATAGTGTGGTTGGCATGCTTCCGATCGGGAGGGCACATACTGAGCCCTCTGAGTAGCCAGTAGGTTGTTTGGTATGTTACAACCTCTGCAGTGATGTACAGTCCTCCTGGTATCAGGTGCAATATCACTCTCAGGGGGTAATTCTTACTTTGGGTCTTCTTCCCTTCTCACCCCCCCCCCCCCCCCCCTTTCCTACTTCCCCGGAGGGGGTGGTCAGCGTCAGATTTGCAGATATTCTGTCCTGCAGGCGCCTGTATATTATCCGACTGGGGATTGATGCCATTGATTGGCATGTATGTATGTATGTATGTATGTATGTATGTATGTATGTATGTACTCGAAGTATGGTGAGTCCGATGTGGGTGATGAATAGGGTAATTCTGACGGGAAAGAGTCGCCTCCAACGGCTCCACCGGCTGCTGTTTCTTCGGGACTTTCTAGCCTCAACCTTTTATCGAGTAAAAAGCCACCAAAAAGATGCTGATCCCTCCCATTCCCTCCCTCTACCTACTCTCTTCTCCCCCAATGGTAATCTCGCCGCCGACTTTCGTTTAGCTTACCCGCCTGTTGAATTTATTTTATTTCATTACATTTATTTATTTTAATTAATTTTATGTTTTCCTGGTAAATTAAATTATTTTGGTACTTCCACCCGCTAGCGTGCATCTCCACAAGGCAGGCATGGCAAAATGTTAAACTAAAGAGAGAGACAAGAGAGACACAGCAAGAGACAGTGAAAGAGAGCAGTCGCAGTCCGTCCGTCCAAACAGAGCCACCTTAATAATAAATTAATTTCCCATCCCCAACCCGCAGAATACAAAACACCCAGAACTATATTAGTATCCGGGTTATCCCCCTCCCCTTCGCTCTCCGGATTTGAAGTGTTACTCTTCAACTGCACTGGAGATAGTGCTGGATACATAATACCAATACCACCTGCTTCCAAGTTTATTTGATCAACCTGATCTCTGGTTACTACACTTCTATACCACTACTACTACCACCACCACCACCACCAAACCAAACCCAATTTTATCCACAACCGGTCTCGTCTTAGCATCTGTCTATCAGCGCTTATCCTCAGATTGCCTTCGTCATAGCGAACTTTATCAACCCGCGTCTCCTGCTTGCCACTGCGATGCTTCTTTGGTTCCAGCCAGCTTCTCTGTCGAAAACCGTGTGCTCGATCTAAACTCACTACCAACCCTTAACATCACTCAACATCATCATCTGGATCATCTCCCGTCCTTGTCATTACCATCACCCGAAACCGTCAAGATCTCTCCATACTTAATTACCTCCCATCCTTTCGATTCTTAATAACCCTTGAAGCGCCTTTTGTTATTTTCATATCCATCTCGTGCATTTTCTCTCCTCTCCACCGCCTTCTGTCATATCAACCTCTCAACCTTAATCACATTTCCGAAACTTGTGGTGATATCATAATCTCCCCGAAATGGCCACCCACGTTGTTACCGCCACTACCACTTCTCCCGTTCTCGCGGGTAACCAAATCTCCCTCTACGGTCAACCCACCCCTATCAACTCCGCCGATACCACCGCCAACAACTCCCCGGCCTCGCCTCAGCAGCAGTACCTTCCGCTCCACAGCAAGCAGCTTCGTCCATTGAAGGGTCCTCTGTATGTCCCCGCTGCTTTGCGCCCCAATAACGACCACGCTACTCAGAAAGCCTCTCCGCCTTCTCCTCCCCGCAGTGTCCACGGCTCCTTGGACAGCCTGACTGAGGGCGAGATCGGCGTCCCGGCTACTCGTCGCTCCACTATGGAAAGCTACAGCAGTGGCTCGACTGTCAGCAAGCTGGCTGAGGATGAGTGGATGAAGAAAGAAGACCTTGGCGAGGTGACCGGCCAGCCTACTCGTGAACACTGGAAAGTGAGTATCTCTTCCCCTTTTTCTGTCTGGGTGGGCGATCGGTTGTCTTATAAAGTCACCATGGCGTGCCTGCGGCGCACTGTCGCGCAAGGCGTGCCATTGCGAATCATCGCGTGATCAGCATGACGCCATCGCACCCCTGCATCATCCGCTCGAATCTAAGCTAACAACGATCTTCCTTCAGGCCGACTCTGCTTCTCCCAACTGCGATTCTCCCACCTGTCGCTCCTCCTTCGGCATCTTCCTGCGTCGCCACCACTGTCGCCATTGCGGCCATGTCTTCTGCTCCTCCCACACCCCCTATGTCGTCCCTCTCGATCAGAATGCCCGCTTCCACCCCGAGGGTGTTCCATCGCGTGCCTGCGATCTCTGCTGGAGCGCGTATTCGCGCTGGGAGGAATCGCGCACTGAGCGCCTCAACAAGATCCAAACCCAGATTGATGCGCAGACCGGTACTGTTGGCGAAGCTGACCGCGCTGTCTCCCTGGCCACCAAGCCCTCGCCGGTCGAGAGCCTCAAGGCCGCTGCATTGAACGGTGTCCCTGGTCAATCCACCGAGATCGCGGCCAGCGTCCCTCGCGGCTGGAACTGGAGCACTTTCTGAAATGACCACGACTTCACGCATTAATGAACATGCCCATACACGAGGGGTTGTCGGCTTCCACAATTATCCATGCTGACCGACGCCCACTTCGCTTCACTTCACTTCGTACATACCTGTTCTAGAACATGCCTTTTCTCTGCTGTCGTCTTTTTCGGATCCATTTTTCGGTGTTACTGTGCGGAGTCTCGGAAGACCTTGTGTTGCTTTGCTTTGTCTTGTGGTGTTTTCTTCCTTTCTAATGATCGTCAGAGAGGCGGAGGTGTTTGTCTTCAATCTGCTTGTCTCCTTATGCCTAGGATACCCCGTCATGTTGTTACGAGCGGCGATCTCTTTTTTTCCTTGCTTCATGGTACGGTGTTTATCAACCCGACCTTCCAATACACACGAGTTAGATCTCAATAAGAATGAACAATATCCAAGAATTTTATATTCTACTTCGTTGTAAACTCTTGCTGTACACACCACACCCTTTATAAAGGAACATCTACAAACTGCCACTCGTGAACTCTCGCTGTACACGCCACTCTGCAAGGAACCTCTCCATGCCTACTTCAGAACAAGCCTCCTCCACATCCCCAAATGCTCAATCTCATTCTCATCCCACCTCCCCATCCCCTCGTCCGTCACAAACCCACACCGCTCATACATCTTCTCCACCTGCGTCTGCGCATGCACCAACACCAATCCATTCCACAACGGGCGCGCCACCACCACCCCCGCCCCATCCTTTCCTGGTTCTTGCGCGGCAGCAGCAGCAGCAGTAGCAGCAGCAGCATCAATCTCCCGCGCATGCTCCCTCGCCCACGCCAACGCCGTCTCCACCACCGCCCGCCCCAGCCCGTACCCCCTATACTCGCGCAGCACCGCCACCCGCGTCAACTTGATGTAGGGTTCTGGTTCTTGTGCTTGCTCCGCCGGCGCACCATCCCCATTCCCCGTTCCGTTGTGATTGTGATCGTGGTCGTGATGCTCGTGGACGTTCGGCGGCGGAACGAGCCGGATCGTCGCGACCGGGATGCGATCGCGGCTTTCCGGTGCGTCTGGTTGAGGAGGTTCTTGGGCAGTGGGGTTTGCCCCGGCGCGAGCGGGGGTAGGGGAGGTTGACTCCGGGGTCTGGTCGTGGTAAACCACCCAATGCCAGCTGCGGCCGTCGTCGGCGTCGATCTCCTCCTCGGCGCTGCAGTGCTGTTCGTCGATGAAGACTTTCTGGCGGATGGTGAGGGCGTCCGTTAGGAGGCGCGGGTTGGTCGGTGGGTTTGGGGTGGTGCGGGTGGGGAGGGTGAATTTTGTGGTCTGGCTGGGGGACGGCGGGGGGAGGAGGTGTGTTGTGAAGGGCATTGTTTCTTGTGTTTGTTGTGGTTTGGGGTCGGTTGAGGAGAAGTTCTGGAGGCCGCGGGTGTTGGGACTTTTTCTTTCGGGGTTGGGGGTAGGAGAGGCTTGGGGTGGTGGAAGTGGGTGTTGCGGACCTGGTGGGTTTTATGCTGAAGAGAAGGGAAATGTGTTGGGAAGATTGTTTGAGGGTGAAGGAGGGTGAGAGTGAGATGAAGTGAGTCAGTGCTGCTGCCCCCCGTAATCGGGAGAATTGTCTGCAAACTGATAAGTCAAGTCGGATGCAGGTGCGGGCGGAGATGCGGAGCGGAGGTGATAAGGTCGGTCACCTCCGGATTTTGGGCCGGGGTGTGGTTTGGGGTTAGGGTTCTCCGTGGACTTTTCTTCATTATTGCCTTCTACCATGGTAATTGCATCTGGTGTATTAAACTACAGAATCTATGTGGAAAGAGAAAAAATGAATCAGCAGGTCCTTGCGGTCAAGTAGGAACCACATAGGCAATGACAACAACCCGCGGAGTAAGTCCAGTACCGTATACAAACCCCCAAACAAACAATGCAAACACCAAAATTTCTCCAGCATCGTCCTTCCTCATCCCAGCACGCTCCATTTTTAATGATCGAGTCAACCCCAGAGCAAAAGAGATGTCCCTCTACTACGACGCGGTGGGCATCCTCACAGGCCCCGCCACCGGCGGCTCCTTCAAATCCCGCCTCTACAACGCCCGCTCCCTCAAGGCCTCGCCCGCGCAGATCTACGCCCTGATCATCGAAGCCTCCAAATGGGATCTCCTCCTCAAAGAGGTTATCGAGAAGGCGGGGATCTTGAAGTTGGAACCTAAGGTAGGACCCCTTCTCTTGCTATGAATTATTTTGCAAATTTGCCGCGCGTGCTTTTCTGTCCTCAGTGTCTGCGACTGTTTACAAGATGAGTATAACTGACGCCACCACTGCAAAAGTTAACCCCCCTCCTCGCCCTCCTCCTCGTCCACGACCACCTCCTCGCCAAATCCGGCATCGCCGCCAAAGCCACCCACCCGCTCCGCCAGGCGATCGAGCGCCACAAGGCCCGCCTGCGCGGGGAGTTCACCAAGGCGCGCGTGCGCCGCGGATGCGCCACCCTCGACGCCCTGCGCGACGCCATCCGTTGCGAGAAGGTCGTCGCTGCCGGCGGGGATCCTGCGGTTGCTGCGACAGCAGTCTACCCGCGCTGGGTGCGGGTCAACAACATGCGGACGACGCTGGCCGAGCAACTCGCCACCACGTTCAAGGGGTATGAGGTTGTGGGGTCGCTGGTGGAGCTTGGGGGCATCGTGTCCAAGAAAGCGGCGCTCACGGCCGGTAAAAAGATCTATCTGGATCGGCATGTACCCGATCTGGTGGCCGTGGCGCAGGGGGTGGATTTGACGGTCACCCCGGCTTATAAGCGCGGGGAGATCATTCTGCAGGATAAGGCGTCGTGTTTTCCGGCGTATTTGCTGGTCGGGGATGGGAGGTGGGAGGGCGGGGAGCTGTTGGATGGGTGTGCCGCCCCGGGGAATAAGACGACGCATATGGCTTCGTTGCTTTGCAAGCATCCCCTTGGGGAGGGGCAGAGGAAGAGGAAGAGGGTGTGGTCTATGGATCAGTCGCAGGTCCGTGCCAAGACGCTCCAGAAGATGGTGGGCACGGCGGGGGCGGATGCTTTGGTGACGGTGTTGCCGGGGCAGGATTTCCTGGCGCTGGATCCGGAAGAGGAGCGCTTCGAGGGCGTGACGGGCTTGCTGCTCGATCCGAGTTGTTCGGGGAGTGGGATTCTGGGGAGAGATGATGTGCCGACGCTGGTTTTGCCGGAGGTGGGTGGTAATGATGGTAGGAATGAGAGGCAGCATGGGAAGAAGAGGAAGCGGAGACAGGATGATGAGGAGGGCCGGGAAGAGAGGAAACTCCTGGATGCAGAGGAGGAGGAGGCCGCGCTGGCGGAGGACGAGAACGATCTGCCTGCCAATGGGCACATGGGCCCTGAGCGGCTGCAGAAGCTCTCTAATCTGCAGACGAGGATCGTGGAGCATGCCTTGCATTTTCCGGCGGCGACGAGGGTCTCGTATAGTACGTGCTCGGTGCATATGGTGGAGAACGAGGCGGTCGTGGCCAGGATCCTGGCGTCGGATGTGGCGAAGAGACGCGGGTGGAGGATCATGCGGAGGGATGAGCAGCCGGAGGGGATGCGGAAGTGGAAGCATCGTGGGGTACGGAGTGATAAGCCTGCTGCAGGTGGTGCTGCTCAAGTCGAGGTTGGCGATCTCGGTCTCTCGGATGAGGTGCTGGAGGGTTGTCTGCGCTGTTGGCCTGGTGATGACGAAGGCACCGGCGGCTTCTTCATTGCAGGGTTTGTGCGCAATGGAGACGGTGAGGTCGTGGCTGAGGCTGAAAGCGCCAATGGCCATGTCGAGGACGATCAAGTGCATCAAGACAGTGATGCACAAGATCCCGACGAGTCGGATTCAGATGATGAGGCTCAAGATGACGAAAACGAAGACAATAGCGAGGATGAATGGGCGGGGTTCTCTGATTAGATGTATATAGGAGCTCTAACTACCTCATCCAGATATGTACAGTGCAGATAATCATAGTACCTCATGCAATCGCCGAGGACCCTAAGAATGGTCGACTCCGATTGCGAACGGTCTCCTGGGTATATACATCCAACTGGACCGCCCTCAGAAGAAAGTCCAGACTACCCTGATTCACGCTGGGCCGCACGCAGATCCGCCATTGGCCGTTGCGCACGACCCAGACCCGGCTGTTGGAGGGCTCCTCCACTCGTCTCCGCTTGTTTGGGGTCTCCTGCGACGAACTGTCTGCGGCGCCTGGGGTCGAGTACCCTACAACATCCCGGTAACTCGTCTGCTCCCCATCCACCGTCAGACTCGTATCGGGGCCCGTCACGAACCAGATCTGCTCGTCCTGGATCGCGACGTCGCCCAGCTCCGCGAGCTTCTTGCTCGCCACGATCTGCAGCAGACTCGTCACCCGGGATTTGGTGAGATTCAGGAAGGTCGGGTGTTTGGTGGTCAGGTCGAGGATGGTGCTCTCGTCGCCGATTTCGACGATCAGGTCGTATTTCTTCTCATCGAGGAACGGCCGCGAGTACCGCACCCAGCTGCTGTCGCAGGCATTGGCGCCCTGTTCGAGGTGGACCCCGGACCGGCGCACGTCCTCGAGCCGGATGATGATCTCGTCGCGCCCCAGGATCGGATTGAAGCTGATGTGGTGGGGGATGATCTTTTGCTCCAGGCCGCGCAGGTGGAAGTAGCGACAGTCCCGCAGGAGCTCCGCGCGGTGCTCCTCGTTTCGGATTCGCAGGGGGTAGCCCCGCAGGAGGTGGAGAAGCTGCGCGAAGACTTCCCCGGAACGGTTCGGTACGCTGGGGGGTGTGATGGCCGGGGGTCGGAGGAGGCCGTGGCGTTCGAGTCCTGGGAACACTTCGACGGGCGACGCGAAGAAGGCGGCGAACCCCAACGTGAAGAAATTCGGCGAGTCGCCTGGACCGGAGAAGATGTCGCGGGGAATCTGGAAGTTGCGATCGCCGATCTGGATGAAGATTTGTGACTCGAATAGCTGGGAGATTAAGCGTGGTACTGCGACCGTTAGCATGTGGATATCTCCAAACCAGGGAGTGGGCCGACGCACAGCTATAGAATTGAGCATCGGCGAAGAACTTGACAAATTGGGACCCGTCTGTGGGCTGAATGTGGTATCCTATCCTCCGCAACCAGTCAATATCTGCGCAGTCGCAATCACATTAAGTATCGGTCCTACCCTGCAAATGTTTGGCGATCTCTTTAAACGTGGTCGGGTCGCGATCGATGTACAGGGTGCGGATGTTGGGATTGTCGCCGATTTGGCGGATTTGTTCTTCGAAGAACTGGGAGAAGTAGGATGGAGCTTCGGACGTTTAGAGAGGATTTCGTGAGTTGGGGACTATCTGGCAGACTGACCATCAGACGCAATGGATGCCCCAGACAGACGAAATAGCTCCGTCCCGATCTGTATGGAGAAGACCCTCTCGGGCGGGAGGTTGGATTTGGGGCTGCGCCGCATCGACGGGCTGATCATTGCCCGCCCAGAGTCGCTCGACATTGTAGCCTTCTGTTATTGTGAGCTTGCAGAAGAGTTGTAGAATGCCGGAGATTCTGGGAGGGATGGATCTTTGGACGCGATAAGGGACGTGGTCATCGGCGGGGATGGAGAGGTGGGCACGAATTGCAATTGTCGGGTCGGGGCAATTGCGCAGATCGGTCGCACAGTGTAGAAGAGACGCAAGAAAGGTCAAGAATTTAAAGGAAATATGCGTTGAATCGCAGGATCACATCATGGCTAGTGAAACATTGGCAGGTGAGATGCTAATCGCATGGCATTTTGGGTGAGATTGTGAGATTGCGATCGCAGACAAACGGTGCAAACCACGGTGATTGGGGGTGGGGCGGACGATTCCCCATTGAGCTTAACTTAGATCAACCTCGGTTCTTGTCCGGGGAAGAATTGAATTCTTCGATTGGTATGTACTTCCATCATTGATATGGATCTATGTGAAAAGACGGCAAGAACAACTACCTAGTAGAAGATAGCAACGCTCGCACAACTGCCAGTCCATCTGCACCTACTAGTTACCCTTCAGCAATGGAAAGTCTCCCTATGGTTAGGGATTTAGAACTCTGGGTTCTTTGGCCCCTGAAGTGACTGAGACTCGAGTCAGATCGATCAAGCGAATTCATCAAGGATAGATGGAGTACAGCGGGCGAAGTAGAGCACTACCTAGGCAGTCTATGTGTGTATACGGTGGATACGGTGTGTACGTAGGCCAGTCACGGGCTCGGGAACTCTAATTTAGCGGTTCATGCGGAGGATGAACCACTCAATCCAATCACTCATCCATCATGGTTCAGATTCTCTCAGATGTCTCGACCTGATAAGCTCACTCTCACCCATGGCACACATACGAACCCGGACTTTAGTTCGCATTGCAAAACCCCGGAATCCCCGTCCAGACCCAGCCGAGGTCCCGCGGCTTCGCGCGGGGGTGGATGGATCTGTCTGCCTTAAACCTCGCCCGTCCATAGCGCAACGCTCTGATAGACCTTCTTCGCGGCATTCAGCTCAATTCACGTGGTGTCATTGAATTAACTCGGCTTTATCAGTTTCCCCGCATTCAAGAGCACCAGAGTTTCATTCTCACATCGTTAGTATGGGTCCGCATGTCGATCGTATACAGCCGACCCACTCGCTCCCTCCTTCAAGTTCCCACTTCCCACCCACCACTCGCTCGAAATTGTCGGCCCATTTTCTAGCTCTGGCCCTTAGACTTAATTATGGAGCCTTGGGATTGCTCTTAGGAAGAGCTCTTATTGCTCGGTAGTACCTGAGCCCGAACCTCGACCTCGGACGCCGTGGACACATTCCACTCTCCTTCCTTGAAAGACCCCCCTCTTCCTTCCGCCTCGTTCCTACTCCTTTGGTGCCACTTGCCGTTTCCAAAGTAGCAAGCGAAGGAAGCCACGCTGAGGGCCCAGAAGCCTTAAACACCAGAGTCTCAAGTTCTTGTCTTCAACGATCCTGACTTCTGTCACCACCATACACCTTGCGTGCTCTTCTATCGCCATCTGACTATCTCTATAACTCATCGTTATTCCTCTGCCATTCTCCTAAACAAACACACGACGACCGCACAACCATCACCATGGCTGCTGAGAACACAGAGCAACGTGTCCCACTGGATGTTGCCCTTCCTGCTGTACCCACTCGAGCGGTTTTCACCTCGACACAATGGAGGACCCTTCTGGCTCTAGCTGACACCGTGATTCCGTCCATCCGCTCCCCTGTCGCCTACAAGTCCAAGGCGACCAAGATTGTTACATCCCAGGAGATGGAGCGAGCTCGTACAACCCTAACCTCCAAGATCCCTGGTCCTGATGCGGCTACGATTGCCGGTCAGTATCTCCGGGAGTCTGCCTCCTCTAATAACACGTTTCGGGAGGGACTACAACGTCTATTCTCGGTCTATGTCCACGACGAGGGATTGAACGGCATTAAGTTTATTCTGAATGCCCTGAAGTATGTATCATCGGCGTCCGAAAGGCTCGTTAGCTAACACGTTCTACAGTACACGGCCTGGCTCCCTCCTTCTGACAGGATCAGTGGTCCTGATTCGAGACCAGCCTGTGGACGTGCGCGAAGCCATCTTCCGCAGCTGGGAGACCGCCCGAATTAAACCACTTCGAGCTATCTACCGGGCTCTATCCACCATCTTCAAGAAGACTTGGATTACATTTAGCCCAACGCTCAACCTAGCCATCGGTTTTCCTCGGGTTCCAGTCCATGGGAAACCTGCGGATGGCTTCAAGTATGAGTTCTTGCAGTTCCCTCCGAGTGAGGATCTTGAAATCATCGAAACAGACGTTGTCATTGTCGGGAGTGGCTGTGGTGGGAGTGTTGCGGCGAAGAATCTCACCGAGGCGGGATACAATGTGATTGTTGTGGATAAGTCGTATTACTACTCGTCTGACCACTTTCCAATGGCCGCAAACGAGGGTTTTATCAGCATGTTTGAGGGAGGAGGCGGCATCGTCACTGACGACGGATGTACGGCTATTCTGGCAGGGTCCACCTGGGGTGGCGGTGGCACAGTCAACTGGTCCGCTGCGTTGCAGACACAAGGATACGTGCGTGAGGAGTGGGCGAACAATGGACTTCCATTCTTCACTAGCCAAGAGTATCAAAAGTGCTTGGATCGTGTCTGCGACCGGATGGGTGTGGGGAGTGATCATACCGAGCACAACAAAGCCAATCGCCTCATCCTCGAGGGAGCTCGCCGATTGGGCTATTCCGCTAAGTCGGTGCCCCAGAACACAGGTCATGGCCCGCATTACTGCGGCTACTGTACTCTGGGCTGCCACACATGTGGGAAGAAAGGTCCCACGGAGACATTCCTCGCCGACGCCTCTCGGGGAGGGGCTACGTTCATCGAAGGACTCCGCGCGGACAAGATTTTGTTCGAAGAAAAGCCATATGGAACGGTGGCTTCGGGCGTGGAGGGGACTTGGACCTCAAGAGATTCGTACCTGGGGGCGTCGGGTATTGGTGCGGTAAAGCGAAAAGTGGTCATCAATGCAAAACGCGTGGTAGTGTCCTGTGGGTCCTTGCAAAGCCCTCTGCTTCTCAAGCGGAGTGGGCTGAAGAACTCACAAATCGGTCGCAATCTTCACCTTCATCCCGGTATGCTATTATTCATTGAGGGTTTCTCGGAAGGCTAGCTAACTTGTACTTCCAGTGATTGTTGCGGGTGCCGTCCTCAATGAAGAGGTTCGACCTTGGGAAGGATCTGCACTGACTACTGTCGTCAACGAATTCGAGAATCTCGATCGAAAAGGCTACGGCGTCAAGATTGAAGCCCTGTCCATGCTGCCTTCCGCCTACCTTCCCCTCTTCCCTTGGCGTGGCGGACTCGACTATAAGATGTGGGTGCTTAATTTGCCCCGCACGGTTGGGTTCATCACACTCACTCGGGACCGAGACGGTGGACGAGTGTACCCGGATCCGGTTGATGGGAGATGTCGCATTGACTATACGGTGTCTGCCTACGACCGTAAGCATATGCTTGAGGCACTTGCTGGCACTGCCAAGATTGCTTTCGTTGCTGGCGCCAAGGAATTCCATACGACCTGGCGAGAGTTGACTCCATACATCCGACCTGAGATGACACCTTCTGAAGCTGCGGAAGGCACCAACAACGCGTCCTTCCAAGCGTGGCTTGCTGATATGCGCGCTCATAAGGTCCCATTCGAGCCCGAGCGGACACAGTTTGCCAGCGCCCACCAGATGGGAACTTGTCGGATGGGTGTTAGTCCCAAGACCAGTGTGGTTGACCCGGACTGTCAAGTGTGGGGGACTCAGGGCTTGTATGTGGTGGATGCATCAGTGTTCCCTAGTGCCAGCGGTGTCAATCCCATGATCACTAATATGGCGATCGCTGACTGGGCTAGTCGGAACATTGCCAAATCCCTGGGAGACAGTCGTGAGACGCACCCGATGGCCCGGCTGTAGCTGAAGTGGCCTCTGTTATATGGGACTGGCTTGCGGATCAGCGTGTGTGTTCTTGGGGCTGGACCCTGCTTTATTCTTATGTTTGAAGTTTTTATAACCGTTGCATAAAAGGTAAAGCTCAGTGTTGACTTTGCAAACCTATTCTCAAGTGACAAGCCGCGTGGTGGTGTCCTAGAGTTTCATGTACATGTTATGAATGAGAAGTTCTTTCTCTCCGGATATTCCAACGCTTGCTAGCGAAAGGTATATCTCGTAATCTACTGGTAGTACTTAGGATGCTTAAGCGTGCAGGAGGAGACGGGAAGTCGGACAGAACCGGATACATTGCAGTTGAGGGCTCTTCTGAAAGTGATCCAAACAACGGGGAAGCGATAGTCTATCGATGGTCAGTGTGAAGGCTATGATAAGGCAACGCTCACCTCATCTCTTCACTTCACTCTCTCATGCTCACCTCCACATCTCCACCTTTTTCTGTATTTACTGTTTTTCTTCCTTACCTCTACAAGTACAACCAACTATGCCCCACCAGCAAATGCCTGCGTCCTACCCAGGAGACACCTGCACGATGACCACATCGACAGATGAGTTTGTGTTTGCCGACTCTGCCTATGAGTCCGATTCAGCATCCCAGGGTTCGAACAAGCACACTCGCGGGGCTACGCGTGCTCGCTTCTGCCCAGACAAAACCACCTGGACTGGCTGTCTCTGGCGGCTGTTGACTTGTATCGTCTCTGTGCTGTTTTCTCTACTCTGGCTGCTCTTATGTAAGAACCAACTCGCGCCTCAGAGCTGGTAGGGTCTATTTTCTGGTTTCGAGGAACTCGCTAATGCGTCATGAAAGGAATAGCTCGCGCCCCCAGATCGTCCTCAACCGCGAGACATCCCGAAGAATCCTGACCCCTGTTTTTCTGTTGCTCGCAGCCTCGCAAGCGGGGCAGGGAGAAATTCTGACTGGCAGGGTTACTGTGTGTGAAGAGTTTGGGGTTGATCTTGCTCGGATCCTGAACGAATACAACCAGTTGCCTATCCCGCTCGACACGACGCATCAGTTATGTGTGCAGATCGACGCCGTCTTACGGACGCTGGGCCGCAGCAAGAATAAGTGAGTTGCATCCATCTTCCATCTTCAGAGTACAGTAACAACCCCCCTAACATCTTCGCGTCATGCAGAATCGCCTACACCCTAGCCACCGCCATCCTCGTCAAATCCACCTGCTCCCTCCTGCATCTCGACCAATGCTGGGACGTCGCCGGCCTCCTGAGCTCGATCGTGGCCATCCTCCTCGCCGCAGCCGCCGACTACTCCGCCATGGACGAGGCCACCGCTGCCGAACTAGTGGACATGCACCCCACAACATACAAGGACATCATGGCCCACGCGCTCCGGGACCGCGGTCTGGGGTATTCTTCTATCCTCCCGGTGGCGGTCCCCTGCACCAGCAACGGTGGTGGCAGCGGAGTCCTCAGCGCAGACGACAAGCTTGAGGAGTTCGTGATCCAGGATTTCGTCGCGTCCGGCACCACCGCCGCGGTGCAGAATATCCACGTCACCTGGTACCGCAACAGCCGGACGGTGGTGCGGCTCCTGCCGCCGGGCCAGCAGGATACGCGGACCACCTCCGGGGAGGCGCAGGCGTTTCGGTTCTTCGATGGCGTCGGCTATCTCGTGTCGTTTGGGACGGGGTATCTGGCGGAGCTTAGTATAGAGGAGGAGGATGAGATGGTCGGGGGGATTGTGCGGGCGTGGGAGGAGGGGATGTTTATGGAAGAGAGGATGGTGCTGGGGGTGAGCTCGATTGAGAAGGGGGTGGAGTATGTGAGTTTGTATGTTGATGTTGATGTTGCTGCTGAGGATGAAGCGGTTGAGATCAAGGGGGCGTTGGATGGGTTTCTGTAGCTGTTTACTCTTGTAGGTAGGATAGGTGAAGTGTGCATTTAGCTGGGTATCTAACTTGAATCCCAAATTGACTTGACATCCTCCCCACCAGGTGAACTTGATACCAAACTCAACCTCCCGATTCGTCATGAGAAACACGCGGCAAAACACCCCTCACACCCCAAATCCCTCCCCATGCGCATCCCGATACTCTGCTCCTCCTCCCACCCAACCTGCAAATGCTGCTGTGATCCCCGCCTTTTATCTGCTGGGGACGACGGAACCACCCGCCTCAACCCCCGACACCGCCCACAGAACACCATCCACACCCCTTGCACGCGCACCAGATCCCCATATCCGTACCGTGCTTCGCCGCGCGGTGCTTGTGCGTGTGCTTGTGCCGGTCCTTCAGCTTGCCGTCCTCCACCATTCTCCCGGACCCCCAGGTCCCCATCTCGAGGACAGACCCCACACTCCAAACAGAACCGCTTCGCGCGCTCCCGCTCCGCCCCGAACCGGCCCCGGCCCCGCCGCACCATCCGGTCCGCGAAGTGCGTCGCCCGCCGTAGCCGCAGACAGTACCGGCAGGCGTAGAGGTCGTGGGCGATGGCGAGGGGGTCGAGTTCTGCGGCGAGGAGCTCGGGGTGCGTGGGGTGGGGGAGGAGGGCGTGGAAGTAGTGGTTTGTTTGGGCCAGGTGGGTCCGCGAGAGGTCGGGGGGAGCCGGGAGGTGCGTGGCGATTTGGAGGTGGAGTTCCGGGGGAAGTTTGCTCATAGTCATGGGGTAGCTTGGGTTGGGTAGGCTGTGTTTTGTAGACTGTGTATTGTAGACTGTGTTGTGTAGACTGTGTGTTGTAGACTGTGGAGGTGGAGGTGTAGGTGTAGTTGTAGTGGTTGCTTGGGAGAGGGTTGTTTGTTGGGGTGTAGTGATGTGATGTCATTTGCGTAGGGTGAGGGGTCCTTGACACGTGCTTTGTTGTGCTCGTCTACGGGGTATGTTTACCGGGTTAAAAGCTTCAGGGGTCTATGAAAAGTGAATTCAATTCACTAGGTACCTAAGTTGATAAGCTCATACTCAGTAACGTTACTAGTCCTGTCGCGCTGGATCCTGCTCGGGCGCATTCCGCAGATACTCATCGATCTCCGCCATCACCTCCGGCGTCAACCGCGGCAGCAGCTTCAGACTCTCCACATTGTCCACGATCTGCTCCGGCCGCGACGCCCCAGTGATCACCGACGAGACGTTCTCGTTCTTCAGGCACCACGCCAGCGCCAGCTGCGACAGCTTCACGCCCAGCTTGTCCGCCAGCCCCTGCAGCCCCTGCACCGTCCGGATCGTGCCCGCCCACTCGTTCTCCCACTCGCTGCGCACGTAGTTGGCGTACTTGTCGTTGCTCTCGGCGAACCGCGACCCCGGCGGCGGCTGCGTCGTGGCCTCGTTGTACTTGCCGCTCAGCAGGCCCATCTTCAGCGGCGAGAACACGGTCAGCCCGATCCCGCAGCGCGCGTACAGCCGCTGGAACTGGCCCTCGACCTTCTGGCGCGTCAGCATGTTGTACTGCGGCTGCTCGACGACGGGCGCGATCAGCCCCAGCGCCCGCGCGATCCCGCACGCCTCGCTGATCTCGTCCGCCGACCACTCCGACGTGCCCCAGTAGAACGCCCACCCCTTCTCGATCACGTGGTTGAACGCCCGCACCGTCTCCTCCATCGGCGTCAGCCGGTCCGGCCGGTGCGCGTAGATGATGTCCACGTACTCCAGCTGCAGCCGCTCCAGGGACGCCCGCGTCCCCTCCACGATGTGTTTCCGGGAGAGGCCATGGTTGTTGATCAGGATCTCGCCGTTGGCGAGGCCCCAGTTTAGCTGTCCACCGGCCACTAGACGTTAGCGGATGGTTCCTTTGTCGCTGATGGTAGTATGTAGTCGTGTCAAGGAACGGAGCGGACGCACCTTGGTGCTGATGACGAGATCGCTGCGCTTCCAGCCGAATTTCTTGATCGCTTGGCCCATGACGATCTCGGATTGACCGCCCGCGTAGCTGCGCTTGATTAGCTTGCGTCTTGTGATTTGCGGCCGGGAAGGAAAGGGCTACCTCTCCGCGGTGTCGAAGAAGTTGATCCCACAGTCGTAGGCTTGCTTCATGCATTGGAAGGTGATTTCTGTCAAGCCCCGTTGTTAGTCCCGCTGTCCAGCACTTGAGGTTCGACTCAAGAAGTAGTACCATTATCCACGTGGCCTCCGAAACTGCCAACAAGTCAAAACATCAGTAAGATTGTCCTGCTCCGACGGTCATGCAGCAACTCACGTCAACCATCCTCCCAACCCCAGCGCGGAGACATGCAGCCCGGAGTTGCCTACCCGGCGGTAGAGCATGTCTTTGTTCTTGTTCGGCCACGCCATGGTGTACAGTCCACTACTTTGTTGATGTAGAAAGAGAGAGAATTGTCCAACTCAGTAGGCAAACCCCCGCGCGAGGGGAGGGGGGGGGGGCTGCGGTACCAATTTATCTGTACCTAGTTCAACTGCGATGGGCCATTGCGTGCGCTGGAATCCCTCAGGGTATCGGCCATTGGTCTGCCGATAGTTGCACAACTGCAGCGGTGGAGCCTGTGAGTCCAATCACACTGACGTATGCAGAGGGCAGCATGAGGCGCAAGAGGCGTCGGAGGTTTGCTCGGAGGGTCTCGTTGTTTAGTTTGGGGGAAGAGAGTTCTAGACCCACCCGGGTTTAGTGGGGGTGCATGGCCCAGAAAGGATTAGTTGGGTTATGTGTGTCTTTGCCGTGCGTGATACATAAGGTCTTTGTGGAAGCTTTAGGCTGGCTTCTTGGATTTACGTTGCTTGCTACGGCCATACGCCTTTGATTCCTCTTTCTCGGTAGAAAGGAAAGCGTGTGCGTTTCATGAATATCTGTTTTCAAGGGGTCACGCAGAGACCCATGCTGACAAAAACTATACTCTAGTAACCTACCCTCGCTTACTCGGACATGCATGAGGGCCTGGGAAACTGCAGTATGGTCGAAGTGGACAATCCTGGAGCCATAACAGACAGAATGAATGCTTCTTGCCCTTGTCAACTGCGTCACTGACACGGAGATGCCATGAGGAAGATAATGAAACCAATGTCTTCGCAAATTGGCATGCATCGGTCATGGAAACGGTTCTTTGCTGTGTCAGAGATGTCGCCAGGATAGACGGGCAGCTTATCTCCGCATGTCTCTCAATCTCTGGCTACATCATTCTCCTGGCGGGAATTGTATACAGTGCCACTGGTTCGCCTGGATTTTTGAGATTTCTAACACTTCTTCAGTCTGGGCCAGATCGTCAGAAACCGCCTTACTTGACTGTCCTTCAAGCTGGAAGGAGGGGCAAACACATTTTTCCAAGATGGAAGGAAGCAAAGATGGAAGAGCTAAGTCATAGAAAATCAGGAACTCGAAAGGTATAAGCACCAAGCAAGCTGAAAGACGGTCAGGATATAATGATATAATTCCTTCTTCTTAGACTAAGAATACAATTATGTTAGTGGCATGTAAATAGCAGTGGTTTCGGTTCGTTTACATACCTGTTATTGGTTCTAGTTACGTTGCTTATCATATTGGGCACTTGTGATCCAGGTCTGAGTTGAATCCTAGACCGTGGAGACATTTCTGTAAGCAGTACTCGCGGTTTGGCCACCTGCTCTGATTAGGAGGGTCTTATGAAGCCGTCGATTGTCACGTACACTGCCGTATTCTCTGGTCGATACTTGACAAAGAGGAAATAGGAGACGTGCCAAACAGCCGGTGGATTTAGCTGTTCTCGCCCAGGTCTGCGCGTTGCCTCTCATGCTGCAGCAAGGGCCTTTAAAAAACTCCATGCTTAGTGAGAAGGGGACAAGCGAGAGATGAGAGATGGGGAAAGACCTCGAAATTCCATGACGACAGATACATTCAAATCATGACGCTTGACTGTTGTGTTATCTGAGGCCAATGTTGCGGAGTAAGTGGGATTACCTGGGGTAGTCTTGGGGGGATAGGGTTTGCAAGGTTTGCATCTCGATCACGAGCTGTGCACACTGCTGGCACAGTGTCTACATCTTCAAATTTGCTCATTACTCATACCTCCGGTACTGGTTTCCGAATAGCATCGCATCGATGCCTACTTCGATGCCTACTTCGATGCTGTGTTAACATCTCACCTGTTCCTCGAAGTGCACCTAGTGGGTCCATGCAATGGCGTGCCCCATGGAGTCGAAGGCGCAATCGTCTGCCTGCCCCTTATCGATTGCCGGCCGTTGGATCCATCCATCACTTTTGTCAACAATCACCTTGCGATCGACGAAACCGTGGACGGTGGACACAATCCCATTGCCACGGTCATCGGCTACGAAGCAGAAGGGCTACACCGATCGGGATTTACCGCGATCGCACAAGGCCTCGCCTCGCTTCGAGCTGCATCTGCCAAGCAACCTCTCATGGCTTGCCCCGCAAAAACGTCGACATGATCGCTCGGCCGTCAACATTGTGACAATTCCTCGTCCGTGCCACCTGCTACGACCCCAAGATTTCTGGCTGGGTCATGCATTCGACTCGAATCGTGCCTGATGCATGCGACTGCAACTGCAACTGCCACGGCACTCACAAGCAAAATGTCTTCTAGAGCCGGAATCACCAAGAAGGCCTGTGACGGATGCAAGATCCGAAAGATCAAATGCGGCGGGGGGCAGCCATGTCAGTCCTGCTTCAATGCGCGCATCAAGTGCACCTATATCCGTGTGCAGCAGCCTCGCGGTCCTCAGAAACTGCGCGCGACCACCAAATTCCTCATCGATCAAGCGCAAAGAGGCTTGGAATTGCAGAATGCACTACCCTCGGCTCCAGTGAGAGGGGAAGTGCTCGAAGCCGACCACGCGCTTCGCAACCCCGCAATGTGCGAAACCCAACACAGCTCGAGGTATGCTTGCCTTTTGCATCCAAGCGCATCTCATTTATTCCGCTGCTTTGCGTTTCGCAGTACTACCGACGTACGACAAAGTCTAATATTTTAATCATGTGAGCATCTAGATCTCGAATTCCGATCAATGTCCTCGCATCCCCGCTGTACATCTATCATGTTCGCATGTATCCGGTCTGGCCTATTGTCGATGTCGAAAAGCTCCTGGCGACCTTGCAGCAGGATGTAGAAGAGAAGGAGCATGAAACGTACGCCCTTGCAACCGCAGTAGCTGCCGCCACCATCGCTCAGTTACGGCTTGGACAAAATTCAGAGCCGGAAAAATCTCTGAGTGCGGAGAACCTTGCGCTCGAGAGCATGCGAGCACGACGGCTGTACGACTATCGCTCGAGGCTCAATCTAAACAATGTGCGCACCGCTTTTTTTCTGCATGTCTACTACGAGAACCAACAGTCGGGGGCGAGTGAGTCGTTACTCTATCTGCGAGAAGCTATCACCTTGGCACAAATGATGTCCCTCCACCGAGAAGCTTCGTATATGGGACTGCCAGCGGAGGAGCAACAGCTGCGTCGGCGCGTGCTATGGTTGCTATTCGTCACAGAACGGTGAGATTTCCCAGCATCCCCAAACGAACTGTGTCTGATTTCTATGCAGGGGAGTCTGCATCCTCCACAAGTTACCCGTTATTCTGAAAACGAACGTCTCCACTCCAGCACTCGACACGAGCGATGAACCACAAGTTCTCCCCGCTTTCCTCAAATTGCTCAACCTTTTTCGCTTGTTTGAGCAGTCCCGGATGTTCGATCTCATTGAAGACGACAACGTCGGAAGAGACACGATTTCGGATGAGGTGCAGGGCGTGGATGCAAGATTTTTACGGCTGCTGCAGGAGAATCTTCAGGACGGATCAGCATTATTAGACCACATATCGGATGTACAAAAGGCCGACCTGTGCGTGACGCGACACTGGATGCGGATGATACTCTGGAAGTTCTCTTTCAAGCAGGGTTTGCAGGGTTCACCTTCGTCCCAATGGCCGAACTCTCCTTCGTTCCCCGTGTTAGTAGCGAAGGAGCTCCTGAACATAGTCTCCCAGCTTCCACGAACGGCGATTGAAGCCCACGGCCTCGGTATGGTATGTGCAGTACATCCACCGACATCTAGAGCAGGGTCACTAAAACATCCGCAGGAACTCAAGCTCTATGAGATCGCCAGCTCACTAGCTGACGCCGTAATCAATCTGGCCATGCTGCCGCGAGCCCCAGTCTGGGATGGCGAAAGCCGCCCCAGCAGCATCCTGGCTCGACTCCACTCGATTCTCTCCACCTTCCGCGGCGGCGGCAATAAAGAACTAGCGGAGCTACTGTATAAGAAAATGGCGGATGCGCAGTCTAGCAGTGGACCTGCATTACCGCTGCCGATACGCGACGTCCACACGCCAGTTAGACGTAAAGCCACCCCCCGCGCAGACACCAACGGTGGGGACAGCCCAGCCGTTGAACTGCCTGCATCGACCCTAGAAGACGTCATCACGAGTACTGCCGATCCCACGGCTCCAAACGCCGTGGCTGATTGGACCGCCGCGGACGACCTCTACCAAGCTACTACTACTACTGCGTTTCAGACCCCTGACCACAACCGTGCTCCTCACGGCGTGATGCCGGAGGAGCCAAGCGACATTAGTGCCCAGCACGCTCTCCACTCCTTAGGAGACCTGGCGCCCTCTAACTTGTTTGGGCCGTCCTTCTCCGCGGGACTGGGCTATGCAGCTGCCGCGGCCGCGGCCGCGTACGCCTACGACCCATACCTAGTCGGCATCCCCAACGCCCAATCTCCGCTGCTATTGGAGGAGGGCAGAGAGCCACGACTGGGCGGGGGTCCCTCGTGGTCCCCGTCTCTGCCGTCGGAGTCGGTGGAGATGTGGGTAGGCGATTTCATGGCTCAAACCGGCGGCGGGGCGATTCAGTCTGTGCCGTCGGAGCATTACTTCTGCATGACCGGGGACTACTTGCCGGAGCCACCACCCTTGTCGAGTCCAAGCTTTCCAGCTTGAGTTTTGCCATATGTATATTCCTCGAACCCGTATAACAACGAATGACACGTATATCATGACTTAATAGAAGATGAAACAAAAACTCCCCATTCGCTTTCTCATTAGTCAGTAACAACAACCAGGGAAATCAGAAAGAAACCTTTGGAACCTATACAATCAGATCAAACCATCCCCCCTCCAATAATCCCAAGCAAGAAGCAGTCTTCCCGACACAAAGCAAACAAGCTTCCAAACACAAGATCTATACCCAGCTGCGCAGTGGCTAGTATTTGAACCGGAAATCAAGCCGCTTGTTCCCTTCGCGCTCGCGCGCCGCCGTGTCCGCCTGGTAGAGCACGCGCTCCTCGGCCGACATGAGGGCCCACTTGCGCTCCTTCTGCCGGTTGAGGTGGCGGAGGTACTCGCGCTGGGCCACGAAGACGGCCATGGAGAAGACGCAGAGGGCGACCAGGACCTTGTCGCCGGTGTAGTAGTAGGGGGAGTCGTTGGAGCGGTAGATTTCTATGCCAGCCACAGTCATTAGCAAGAGTTCCGTACCCAGTATCGCACTCGTTTCAGGAAGGAGGTTGTTTTTTTTTCTGCGCCTCTTTTTCTTTTACTGAAAGGAACAACTCACGCGACGAAACAATCGACCCGACCTGCACGATAACATTGTACGTGGCGGCGGTGATGGCGCGCTTCTTCACGTCGAAGGTATTCTCGGAGATCCAGGCGGAGACGATCGGGTGGAAGTAGGGGTACCCCGAGATCAGCGTGGTGATGGTGAAGCGGGCCCAGTTGTAGCCGCCCGCCGGCAGGCACAGCAGGGCGATCAACAGCGGCAAGGACCAGAATTCCCCGAACAGGCTGTGCCACGTCCGGTCGCCGAAGTACTCGCTGCTCTTGCACAGGGCCAGCATCAGGATGATCTGCAGCGCCGCGGAGGGGATCGAGAGCATGTTGGACTCGAAGGTGGTGAAGCCCAGGCGCTTCAGGGTCAGGGAGAGATAGCTGGAGACCGGGCTTTGGGGGATGTAGGCCACTAGGCCGATCAGATACAGACCCCACATGGAGAGGTCTTTCCAAGCGGAGATGATGTCGTGCTGGGTCGCGGATTCGTTGATGTGCGTTAGGCCTTTGGAGGGGTCGTCGCGGAGGAGGCGCTTGGGGTGGTTTAGTGGGGTTTTTTTTCTTGGGGGAGGGGTGGGACGTACGTTGATCATGATTACTTCTTCTCGTTCGGTGTACCAGTTTCTCGGGCAGAGGAGACTGCTCGTGTTGGTGGGCGAGCTGGGGAGGTAGAAGAGGCTCTGTTTGTGGGGTAAGTTGTTCGGGTTCTGTTTGTGGGCGTTGTGGGTTTGGGAAAGAAAAGGAAAGGAATGCGTACGAGGAATCCGATGGCAAAGGTGATGAGGCCGTCGATCAGGAAAAGCCAGAACCAGCCCGGTTTGCCCTGCACGCCACGCATCTCGAGAATACCCGCCGCCAGCAGCGACGAAATGATACGGGCAACCTAGTTCCGCGGTTAGTCGAGTTGCATTCGAATGTGAGTTACGGTTCGGTTCGTACGTTGAGCGTGGACCAGAAGAATCCCAGGCGCACGGAGAGCTCCTTCGTCTTGTAGAAATAGGTCGCGAACAAGATGGTGCCGGGGATGAAACCACCTTCAAAAGCCCCGATGAGTGCGCGCGTCACGTAGAAGGCAGCCCGGTTGGTCATCCATGCTTGCGCCCAGGATACAGTACTCCAGCAAATCATCATCACGGGGAGAACCCGCTTGAACCCGTATCTCTTGATGAGCAGCTGGACGGGAAACTCTGCGGACAAGAAGCACACCAATTGGATAGTGGTTCCCTGCAGAAATTAGAAAGGTGTGTCTGTATGCTGGGGCGTGTAGGCTCTCACATTGTTGTAGTCGTTACTCGACATGTTCAGATCGACCAGTAGGTTGTCCGTCAGCGCATTTGATAAGTTGCCACGGTCGAGTTGGAGACCAAAGAACTATTCATGTCAGCATCCACCCGCCATCTGATGGATATTGCAGCAAACGTACCATGACACAGAGAGCCGTGAGTAGATACAGATCGGTCTTCCAGATCACTCGTCTCTCCTCTTGTTCGGTCCAGGTAGCGGTGGGATCGAATCGGTGAAAGCCTTCATACGACTCATGGGGAGGCACGACGCCAGCGAGGTGTTCCTGTCCGACCTCGATCGACACCTTCGAGGACTGCGTGTCTTCGACATCGTGGGCTTTGATGGAGGAGCCCTTGAACCCCGTTTCGATGTCCGTCATGATGATGTCTCTCTGACAGGCCACGCCTTGCTGCTAAGAACGCAGAATCTCAAGGGATTCGAGATAATGGGCGGGGACAAAATACCTCTAGGGCTGGATGGTCTTCCATAACCAAGGACTTATATACCATCGAAGTTCGTGGCGTTGGATAAAGGATAATTAATTCTCTGATGTCGTTATTCGCAATGGCCATCGACAACGGGCCTTTGCTTGAGCCAACCACAGACATGGCGTTATTGTTACAGCCGTGTGTATGCATGCCCTGAATCCAGAATCGGACTAAGAGAATTGCACAAAACGGATCGCCGAGCACATCATCGCCGCCAGGGAGCCCCAGGCGGTGCGCTAGCCAATTTTCTCGCGGAAAACCAAAGCTTTTCGCCAATAGCCTCTTTCTCCGTCTGATTCCGAGGGCAAGAAGAACAGAGCTGGGCTGAAGAAATTGAAATAAATAAATGAATGAATGTTAAAACGGTGTACATTTGTTGAGGCGAACGGTTGAACCCCACAGTTCACGGTGGTCGGTTGAAGAGGTTCTTGGGCGTAGGTTTCCCCGGATATTCCTTTGCTTGTACGGTAAGTTGTTAACGCACTGTCACCGTAGCCATTCCCAATTGTTATCTGAGCGTGGTCTGCCATGCTCCCCAGGTTTCGGAGCATTGCTGTTTGTAGATGAAGCACATGCACACCATTTCGAACGGCGGACTCCGTTGACAGCTTCTATTCGCTGATGATGGTGGTGGTGTTTGGCGAGACTAAGAAATGCCAGAACACGGACCAAAAAGCCCTCCGAGAATTTCGCCGACGCCCCGCCGACAGCCATCCCGTTGGCCGCTGATTGGCATCACCCAGAGGCAAACCAATCGGGCATGATTAATGCGGGGAAACATGAGGGCGATGGGCCCACAAGGGACTTGACTCGTAGGTGCACTATGTGGCCCTGGAACCGTACGGAATATGCGACGAGGAGACTCCGCGGAAGATAACTAGCCAGTGCCTGTAAGGGAGGGTTCGCGTCGCGAGGTTGACGGGTTGTCGCCATTCGCACTGCATGACCCGTAGCCCTCCACCACGGTGGGGACGAGTCGTTGACAACATACCACTGCGATCGCTGCTGCAGAGTCGACGTAGACGTATTTCGTCGGCTATCGTAGCTCATATAAAGAGTCGGGAAGCTTATCAGATCCCTTCATCAGTTCTGCCACAAGTACAGTCCTGTTTTGTGTGCCCATTCACCTCACACCAGCCTCTGTAACAGCCAGAACCGTCATCATGCCTGCTGTCGTTGAGAACGCTCCGGCTTCGACCATCAGAGGAGGCCATGAGCAGTCCCGACCGCGCATCTCCGAGCCACTACAGTATTCCGGGTCTCTGGACTCGTATGCCCGGCAAGACCTGACGCCGGTCATTGGTCGCGAGTACAAAGGTCTTCAGGTGGCAGAGATCTTGAAGTCGGAGCAATGCGATCAGATCATCAAAGATCTCGCAGTAATAAGTATGACATGATTTCCGAAAGTTTTGAACACGCTGATGCTGACGGGAACAGTCTCAAGCCGAGGGGTTGTATTCCTGCGTGATCAAGACGTGACACCGCAGCAGATGCGCGAGTTCGGAGAGAAGCTGACACATCTGGCCGGATGCGTAAGTACAAGATGTACCTCCCAAAAACACCTGACTGACCGCCCCATCACAGCCCGAGTCATCCGGGCTGCACATCCACCCCCTGACAGAAGAAGGCAGCGAGCTAGGCGATCAGATCAGCGTGATCAGCAGCGAGAAGCAGAAGAAGGGCGGCGGCCTCACGCACCAACTCAGCGACACGAGCCGCTTCGCCTCCGTGGGCTGGCACAGCGACATCAGCTTCGAGCCCGTCCCCTCCGACTACGCCATGCTGAAGATCCACACGCTCCCAGAGACGGGCGGCGACACCCTCTGGGCGTCGGGCTATGAGATCTACGATCGCCTGTCGCCCGCCATGGCGGAGATGCTGGAGGGGCTGACGGCGACGCACGACGCGACCTTCTTCCACGACGAGGCGCGGCGGCTGGGCAATCCGTTGCGGAAGGGAATTCGAGGCTCGCCCCTCAACCAGGGCGAAGCGCTGACCGCCGTCCATCCTGTCATTCGCACGAATCGTAGGTGCCCTTCCATCAGTTTCCCCTGGGTATCTGTTTTTCAAGTTCTGTGATCTCGACTTCTAACTTTGCGTCTATAGCTGTCACTGGCTGGAAGTCCGTGTATGTGAACAAAGGCTTCACGAAGCGCATCAACGGGGTCACCAAGGATGAATCCGACGTTTTGCTCGCCTATCTGTTCAATGTGAGTGTGGCCGACAAACAACTTCAAATGTGGGCAGGTTGACTGACTGGTTCGTTCCTAGCTCATTACCCAAAACCACGACGCGCAGGTTCGCTTCCGGTGGAATAAGAATGATTTGGCCGTTTGGGATAACCGATCGACCTGGCACTGTGCCACGTACGACTACGCCGAGGCTCGGGCTGGCGACCGGGTCTGCAGTCTGGGTGAAGCGCCCTATCTCGATACTCGCTCGAGGTCGAGGAAGCAGGCCTTGGGGGAGGCTTGATGCGGTGGGCTGCGGTGTCCATCGGTAACGCTATAATGAATAATAAATATATCAATATAATCTTCAGAGACGTTTTAGGCTTCAGGGCTCGGAGTCTTTGTTGCAGAGAAGTGGCGCATCTACGGACGTATTGCCCAGGGCTGAGGGAAATAGGTTAAACTCCACATTGATTTTGAAATGTAAATAGAGGCTTCCAGAGCCTACTCATAGATACAATATCTATCCAGCTATTGAAGATCACAGATATCCAAGTTCAGATCATCTCCCACATGCTTGCTTATATGATTAGTGCTTAAATAGCACTCCATGGTAGTGACCCTATAGTCGTTTTCCTCAAGTCGATTACCCAGTCACCGTCTTGCAACCACATACCTGACAAATACCTGCTTTGTCAGGGGCATAATGGGGAATCCAAGACAAGTCTAAGCCTGGCAAGGCTCACCCAGCTTCATGTAATTCCAGCAGACTGTATAGCATTAGCATGCGGAAAGTAAAACTGGCAGGGTCTGAGAGAGCACTTACTGCTGAAGCCCATGTCGTCACCAAACATGGTAGCGTAGGTTTTCGCACCGTCCTGCAGCCCACCCTCCGAGTCATATGCCACAGCGTTCTTGCCCAGAGCGATAGCCATGACGGCCGGGTGCGGCTGCAGGTTGACGAACTCAGGCTTAGTGCTCAAAGCCTGAGCCATCATGCGCTGATGGACATTGGTCGCTGCGTAATGACCCTTGTGCATGGCAGCGCCACAGCGTTTGATCCCCGACCACGAAACGATATCACCCACAGCGAAGTGGTCATCTGCGTTGGGAACATTGTCCGGAAATTGCAGACTGGGCGGCAGTCAGTTGAGGCTCCGTGGGACACAGGAGAAGAGGGACTTACGAGGGTCTGATCTTGACGAGTCCCTCCTCGTTCAACGCCTCTTTAGGCAGATAGGTGGAAGTGGCGACACTCTTCGAAACGGCGTTCATCACATGGCCAGCCGTGAGCTTGGTGCCGTCGGAGAGAGTAAGCTGCCAGACGCGGCGTCCTCCCTCTGTCTCAACGGCAGTGGTGTCGACAACGCGTTGTCCGAGGATGACTGTGACCTCCTGCTCGCGGAGGATAGTACAGATGCGCTCTTTGAACGCATCGGGTAGAGGCTCGGCAGAAAGGAGGTGGTCACGGGAATGGATCAGGGTGATCTTCTGGTTGGGGTAAAGATCTTTCAACTCGGCGGCCATTTCAGCACCGACGGCACCTGCAGGTCATTAGCTATCAGTAATACGCAAACGTGGGGGTATGCGAGAATATTTACCACCTCCAATCACCACGACGCCTTCCTTCGCGTTCTGGATGGCCTCAACATTCTTCCTTGTCTCTTCCAGGAACTCTCGACGCTCCAGGGACTGTGGCACTGTCGGAAAAGCGCGGCGTAGACCAGATGCAGCGATCAAAAAGTCGTACTTTTCTTCCCTCGATCGCCTCGTCTGGCTATCAAGGATCTGAGCCACCTTCCGCTGGCAGTCCACCGAGTGGACACTTCCTTGGATCCATTTGATGTCTGGAGTCTTCAAGGCAGGAATGTCCACGAATCTATTCCAGGTCTTTGAGGCGTATTTCTCCGAGGCGAGTGCCTTGGGGGAGCCGATGAGGTGATCTGGAGTCATTTTTGGGATTAGTGGCTGTATGTTATAATACGGAATCAGCGGGAAGACTACTGACAGTATCCATCCCTCTCGTCCACCAATGTGATCTGGATGGGTATGCGATGTTGAGGGGGCTGTGCATTGGGCGTGAAGTTGAAACGAGCGAGACGGCCACGGCAAAGATCGATCAGCGTCATGGCTGACGCCAATCCACCGTAGGAGCCACCAACGATCAGAACGCGGAACTCGCGCGCAAGCGAGACAAGGCCCTCATTGGACGGCATTGTGAGAGTGTCGTGCTTGTAGCTTTTGAAGATCTATTATTCTGATCGGAGATAAGAGAGGAAAGGGAGAGGAGAGAGCCAATGTTGAAGAAATGGGCGGAGTAAGTAGAGACGGAAGTTGAGTGAAAAAAAAGTAGCCCGGAGCAAAGGGGGCGCAGGCCATTCTTAAGAGTAACGCCATGATAACAAGAGTGTAACCAGTGACTTGTCAACCGAGACCGGGGGACAGATGCCCAGAGTCTGTGGATCCGATGGGGACATCTGTCACCAAAACACAAACGTTCCCTTGCTGTATCGGAGGTGCCTGGACTAGACCGAAATGTTGTCTCGGGGATTTCGGCGGAGACCGAGCGAGAACTCTTTACCAAAAACGAATATGGGAAATTGCGAAGTGATGTCGATCTCATATAGTGAGGAGCTTCGGACTCAATATTCTGAAATGAACATTCCAGTGACACAGGCTCGATCGAAATCGGATGACTACGGATACCAAGTTACAAGAAG